CCAATAACAATCTTAATAACAATCCCAATAATAATAGTATTATTAAACTTATTTTAAGCTACTATTTACTGCTTACTATTTAACATGCAAGCAGAACAACTCTGAGAAGGAATATATCAGTAGCTTCATTTTTCAAAATGAGGAAACTGAGACTTATAAAAGTTAGATAATTGGCTGAGGTCCCATGTTCAGTTATCAGCAGAACCAGGACTGGCTGATGCCAAGGCCCTAGCTCTTAAGGCCTTAAGCACCATGGTATATATTTTTAAAATTATTTTTCTCACCCAGAGGGCAGCAGATTGACAGAGTACCATTTGGAACCTTTGCCATTTGGGATTTGGGAAATTGTGGGAGCTCAGAATTTAGGCACAAGTAGGAAATTTGAAACATGAAAGGAATTTTGGCAGGAATGACTGAGAGTCACACAGCATGCCAACATGGAGAAGTGTGAAGTCGTGGTTCGGAACGTGAGTCAGGCTGCCTAGGTTTGCATCCCAGCTCCTTCGCTTACTATGTGTGTCACTTTAGGGAGCTTACTTCACCTTTCTATGTCTCAACTTCCCCATCTGGCAAGATGGAGGTAATGATACATGCCTCATAGGATTGATGCAAGGATTAAGTGAATTAATTGTCTATAAACTGCTAAGCCTTAGAAGAATACCTAGTATATTGTCAATACCATCTAATTGTTACATAAATAAATTTGGGTTTAAAATATGCCACTTTAACATAAGGATTATTTTGAGCTGAAGGCAATTGAAAAGCAGCAGATACAGAAAAAAGTTATCTACCCTCCTCCTATTGACCTAAAAGTAGGGTATCAATGTCCCTTTGTGAAGGTGTTTCCTGGCCTCTCTCTTGTACCAGGATGGGCAGAATGAGCGACAACTCCACAGTCTTATCAGGTGGCACTGAGAGAAATCCTCATCACAAACCTTACTAAAATAACCTTTATCCTCCCATTGTTTCCCCTATATATTTATCTCTCCACAATTTACCACCCCCAGAAACTCAAAACTCATTTCCCTTGTCTTCTCACTTCTCCACAAATGTACTGTCCTTTGAAAAAATAGTATACATGCTTCTGGGTCTAATGATCTAATCACCTCTTTGGGATTTTCCATTCATTTCTGAGCTCCTCCCATATGCATATGAAAAACTTTTTCTGTAGTTTTTTTTTTTTTTTTTTTTAAAGTCCAGCTCTCCATAAGCTAAAGCAACTCACTCTTTATAAGCAAAACACCACCAAGAGCTCCCACATCGGAACTTGTGATTAAACATTGCCTGTGTTTGTGCTTTACAGGTGAGGTCCATGTGGAAGGACAGGAACATTTTAATATGGAAACATTATCTATCCTGGCTCTCCCAAAAGAAGAAGATAAAGAAATGGCGTTACACCTTAGAACGCAGTATCCAAACTACATGCAGGTAACCGCAGGAGATACAGGCTTCACTCCAAAGCAGCTGTGTGATCTCGTGCAAGTCACTGGGCATCTATATCCTTTTCTGTAAATTGTAGAAAATGGCAAAGATCACCCCTGAGGTCCCTTTTAGCAGGGGGTATGTGACTCTGAGTTCCAATGAACAACATGTATGTACTAAAGTCACCATTGCCACCTCCTATTAACATATCCTGGGTCACAGTCAGCACCACAACAGCAGATATTTCCTTGGGAGTAACCAGGGCACTGGATACCCACAGCCTGCCATAGCCCAGAAGCTAAGGTAGCATCAAAAGCAGTCCTGGTAAAGGATTTGAGTATACATTTCTCCAAAGAAAATATATGAATGAACAATAAGCACATGAAAAAAATGCTCAGCATCATTGGTCATTAGGGAAACGCAAGTCAAAATCACAACTAAATAACATTTCCCACCCACTAGAATGTCTATAATCAAAAAGACAGACAGTAACAAGTGTTGACAAGGATGTAGAGAAACTGGAACATTCATACATTGTGGATGGGCATGAAAAATGGCATAGCCACTTTGAAAAATAGTTTGGTGGTTTCTCAGGATGTTAAACATAAACCGAACATATAACTCGGCAATTCTGCAACTAAATATCTACGCAAGATAAATGAAAACATATGTCTACAAAAAAAAAAACTTATGAACAAATGTTCATAGCAGCATTACTCATAAAAACCAAAAGTAGAAACAACCCAATGTCCAGCTGATGAATGGAGAAACAAAATGTGGTATACCCATACAGTGGAATATTATTTAGCCATAAAAAAGAATGGAAATTTTGTCTTGTTGGCTCCTGTGTAAAGGAGGCTATTCAACCTGAGAACAGGCTGAGGAGGTTGGCAACAGTGTTGCCAGCATTTTTGTTGGCAGGTGGCTGGGCTGGTGGGAGAAACTGCCCAAAGGAAGCACTGTGGTTTCGGCCACACAGTTGTTGGATGAGTTAATGGGCTGGGACGGAAACCTCGCCCCAGACAAGAAGCGCAGCAACATGTGGTAGGACCACAAGAGCATTTATAAATATTTTCTCTGTGGTTTTTGTCTGCAGAATTGTTCACAAATACGCATTCTGATCTATTCCATGTGAAAAAACTCATACTGAAAACCTACAAAAGCAGTGTAAGAAGAGCTCTTGTTTTATGAAAGTTGGCTATGAGAGAGGTTCTTTTTTTCCATAATTACAGAGCTTACTTGCAAAAGTAGAACGTAGAATCAGATGAGGCCATGCTCGTTTGGCATCTCAAAGCCAGCAGTCTTCTTGGGCGGCTGGCCCAACAGGCAAAAATGAAGCAAAAATTCAGGTTCTAACAGACAACATTGATGTGCTTCTGCAACAGACTGAAGAATTAGGGGTGGAAGGAAAAGTAGTAGAAGCCCAGTGGATGATGAAATTAGTTGAACAATTAAAAGACGAGAGAGAATTGCCTGGATCCACAACCTTGAAAATTGAAAGTTTTGCTGAACACATACAAAAAAAATGGAAGTTGGTGAAGTGTGTGGAGCCTTTTTGATAGTAGGAGATGCCCAGTCCCAGGTAGATGACCGTTTGTTGGGAAAACAACACATGGGATATGCCAACATTAAAACTACTGTAGAAGAATTAAAAGAAACATTAAGAAAAAGAACTCAAGAACCTGATCATGATGACTGTCTAAAAAGGGAGAAGCAAGAAAGAAAAGAGAAAAAGAACATGAAAGAGGAAGTGAAGGAGAAAGGAAAAGATTAAGGGAAGAGAAAGAAAGAGAAAAAGAAAGGGCTCATAACAGAGAAAGAATAAAAAGAAGTTGTTCATGAAATAGGCACTTAATATGGTTTGGCTATGTCCCCACTTAAATCTCACATGGAATTGTAATAATCTTCACATGTCAAGGGCAGGGCCAGGTGGAGATAATTGAATCATGGGGGCAGTTTACCCATACTGTCCCTGTGGTAGTTAATAAGTTTCTCAAGGTCTGTTGGTCTTATAAATGGTAGTTCCCCTGTACAAGCTCTCTTGCCTGCCGCCATGTGAGACACGACCTCGTTTCACCTTTTCCTTCCGCCATGATTGTGAGGCCTCCCTAGTCGTGTGGAACTGTGAGTCAATTAAACCTCTTTCCTTTATAAATTACCCTGTGTAGGGTATGTCTTTATTAGCAGTGTGAGAACAAAATAATACAGCACTCAAGCCAAACTTCAGATTGAAGATGCAGCAGGTCTCAGGACCACAAAAGATCATGAAGTAGAGAAAGAAGATGAAGCAGAAGTAGAGATCAATGAAGAAGCAGAAGCCATGATTGATCAGAAAGAAAACATAGATCTCTAATTCAGGATCAAAGATCAAAAAGCCAAAATTGAAAGTCATATAAGCACAGGAGAAAAAGTTGGGACAGAGAACAAGATAGAAAATCCAAGGAGAAAGAGGATCTGGTGTTTAATAAAAAGTAGTGTGAAGTCTGGTAGTTGAGAAAAACAGAGTGATGACATAAACACTGAATCAAAGGAAAGTGATACTAAGAATGAGGTCAATCGGGCCATTGAAGACATTAAATCTGAAGATGACACTCAGTTCAATTAAAACAGATCTGATAAGATCTCAGATCAGACAGAGGACTACTGTTCAAAGGTTTTTGGAAGAATACTGAAAATAGCATAAAGTGAAGATTGACATTTAAAAAATGAGGCAAAAGAAAGCTATCGTGGCATAGAAAAAGTATAAAGCTCAGTTAGTTATTTGTAATTGTTATTATTAAAAATTAATTCAGAACTGATGTAACCCACCAGATTTCAGAACATATGTTAATAATATATATGCCCTGAAAACTTAGGTCCTGTATCATATATTTTTAAGACTTTTTAAGAAATTTTACCTAAACATGTGGCTTGCTTAGTGTTTAATTGCAAGTTTTTATTCTTGGACTTTGAAAACAGGATTAAATGTTAGTATTTGTGTGAATCAGACTAAGTGGGATTTCATTTTTACAACTCTACTATACTTAGCCTTGGATTTAGAAGTAAAAATAAAGAATCTCTGACTTTCTGTTACAAAGTTGATTGTCTCTGTCATTGCCAAGTTTTAGTATTATTATTCTTCTAAAAAAGTTAATGACTCAGAACTAAAAAAAAAAAAAAAAAAAGGAATCAAGTACCAACACATGCTACAGCATAGATGAGCTTTGAAAACATTATGCTAAGGGAAAGAAGCCAGTCACAAAAGACCACATAGTGTATGATTCCACTGACATGAAATGTCCATAACGGGCAAATCTATACAGACAGAAAGTAGATTAATGGTTGCCCAGTGCAGGGGGGTTTGGGAAGATGGGGAGCAAGCGCTTAATGGATACAAAGTTTCTTTGCAGATGCTGAAAAATGTTCTAGAATTAGATTATGGTGATGGTTACACAATTCTGTAAGTATAAGCATTTGTTGAATTACTAGTTTTCTTTTACTGGACAGAGGGGAAGTACATGGAGGAGAAAGTGAACTATTAAATTGCACTTACATAGCTTTGGGAACTTACATCTTGCAGGAATGTGTGACTACAGCACTGAACATCCCAAAGAGTAGAATCGCCTTCCACATGAAAAGAGCCGGAGGAGCGTTTGGAGGGAAAGTGACCAAGCTGGCTCTGCTAGGAGCTGTCAGTGATGTGGCCGCCAACAAGTAAGAGTCACAGTGGCATCATTAGCAGTCCAAGTAGCATTGATGCCACCTGTGTTCTTTCAGCCCAGCACCCCAGTTTTCATCTCACCTTTCAACACAGCTGAGATTGGCCATGTGGAAGGGAGGTCAAACCCCATCCCCAAAAGAGACACATTTTGTCATGAAACAAAGCAGGGGCTCTGCCATCACCTGGGAATGTTGACTTAGCTTCTGTGCCATCCAGTTGGAATACCCAAACACTGGAATAGCCATGACTTTTGTGAACTTGGTAACTACAAAATCTCACTTATTCAAACTAACTTATCCCAGGCTACTTATATGAAAAGAAAAACCATGAACATCTTAGCTCATTGGCACTTTCCAACAATAGGAAAGACTGTCCCATAAACTGCAGGTTTGCAGGCACTGGGAACATTCCATCAGAAACCAGAGAGGTCCTTGATGGACATTTTATGAAAGGGAGTTTGAATGCAAGGAAGGTTATGCTCAATGGAGCATGGGAGTTCAACCCTTTCAGCCTCAATATCCCCTTTAAGGCAAATATTTAAAATCTCAATTTTGCACCAACTATATATTTTAATGCTCTCTTAACTATCTCAAAGTGAAATTCACAACAATAAAACCTACTTATATACATAACTGCAAAATAATACAATTCCTTAATGTACTATAGAAAAGAAATAATGTATCATTGCAATATATAAGTTCTCAGACATGACTGAACCAGAATAATTATGTTCTTTTTTAAAGAATATTAATCCCACACACACTTCCAAGGAGTTTGTCTAAGGAAAAAGAAGGGAATGTTACTACCCTCACTGAAAACCAGTAAGCTAGATTATCTCAAGTCCTTCTTCCCCATCTCTATGTTTCCACAACTTTATGAAGCATTCAGCATATTAACAGTCATTTCCTATAGAACTGGGCATCCAATCCGGTTTATCCTAGATTGTGGTGATGACATGCTGATAACTGCTGGCTGCCACCCACTCCTCGGAAAATACAAAGTAGGTGAAAGCAAGAAGTTTGGCAAACTGCCTAAGACATTGTTCAGTGTTAACCAACCAATAGTAAAGACAATTACTACATCCCACACCACTTGAAAGGGATATTTAGACACTGCCTGAAACCACTCAGAACTTTCTATTGGTATCATGTTCAACTTGGGCACCATCACTGATATTCCTCTGGTTACTGTCACATCCAATATAAACTAAGTATGCATTGACAACTGTGACAAGATGTGTTTGTGTACAGCATGATTTCATTGCAAAGGACTATTGAGAAAATTGCCTTACTTGCTATCACTTTGCAGATTTGATTCATGAACAATGATGTAATGAAAGCTGCTGATGTCAAATATTACGTCAATGGTGGGTACACTCCTGATGAGTCTGAGAGGGTGAGAAACATGCCTTTCCCATAGGTTACCAGTTGAGCTGTATGTGCTACCCTTTATTTGCGTAAAGATTTGTCTTACAAATCAGATAACTTCCGTGATGGGTTCAAGTGAGAGATAAAATTCAGATAAGTGGTTTTGAATATTTGCCCTATGTGAAATTTCACTTTGTTTTGCTTCAACTCAGATGGTAGAGTTCATTGTGCTGAAATCTGAAAATGCATACCATATTCCTAATTTCCAATGCTGGGGTAGGTCTTGCAAAACAAATTTGCCATCCAACACAGCCTTTTGAGGATTTGGCTTTCCTGAGGGTATGGCGGTAGTCGAAGCTTACATAACTGCTGTGGCATCTCAATGCAACTTACCCTCTGAAGAGGTGCTAAGTCATAACCCCCTAATAAAACACTGAGATAATTGGTTTCAATATATCTTAAATACCTACATATGCATTATATCAGCCTCTATGTGGATTCAAAAAAAAAATAAAGCACATCATCTGTGTATCAGTTAGCTTTTGCTATGTGGTAGGTCAACCACAAAACTTAGTGTCTAAAAACAACAGTATTTTGTATGATTCTGTGGGTCAGCTGGGTAGCTCTTCTAGTCTGGGCCAGCACAACTGGAGCTTCATGGTCAAGGTAGCGTCACTGACACATCTGGTGGTCACATGCTGGTTTGTCTAGGATGCCTCAGCCAAGAAGGCACATCTCCACTCCACAGAGTCTCTCACCCTCCAGTACGCAAGCCCAGATTTGTTCTTGTGGTGGTCACAGAGCTGCCAAGAACAGCAAGAATGTGGCAAACCCTGGTGTACCAGCACTTAAGTCTCTGTCCATCTCAGATACTTACTGTCCCATTGGCTAGAGCAAGCCATGCTCTAGAATCAGTGTGAAGCCACCCAGGGGACAGAGAGCACAGAATGGTTATGGCCATTTGTGCAGATATTTTACCAAAATTCAAGACTTTGAGGAGCTACTTTGAGAACCATTAAGAATAAAGCACTATTGTGTGGGAGTAAAAGGATTTTCGATCAGGAGAATTTTGTCTCACCACTTGTGACAGAGTTCACAACAGTTGGAACCTACTGTCTCTCAGGGTGATTGTGATGTTAACTAGATAATACACTTAGACTAGGGCCTGGTGCATATGAAATGTTCAAGAGTAGCTTCTACTGTTATTATTATTACTCTTATGTTTATACAAGTACGCTTGTACTTGCATATTTACAGCCATTTAAATAGAAGACTTCCTGCATATCAGGCATATAACAAAAACACATGCTGCACTGTGAAACAAGCATCTATCCCTAATATCCATTTTGTTTTCTCATCTTTCAGGTTAGAGAAATAAACATGTATAAGAGAATTAGCATAACAGCCTTTAAGCAGACATTTAATCCAATGCCCTTGCAAAGACGCTGGAAAGAATGCCTGGAGAAACCTTCGTTCTATGCTAGGAGACTGGCTGCAGAGGAATTTAACAAAAAGAATTACTGGAAGAAGAAGGGGCTTGCCATAGACCCTGTGAAATATTCCATTGGGATTCCTATAGCTCACAAAACTCAGGTGAGATTGGGAGAGATGCCGTCTCATCAAAAGCTTTTTTCCAAATGACCTGCTGCCTGAAAAGATCAGTCATGGGCAACAAGGGATGGTGCCCTCTGGGGACAGAGAAAAAAACTGGGGCAGTTTCCTTTAGCAGGAAATAATGGGTTTAGGTAAGCGTTGGGGACCACAGGTGTCAGGGCAGACCTGACAGTCACACTGAAAGCAATCAACAGTGAAGTCCAGCTGGGGGTTCTGGACTGGTATAGCATGGCCCCAAACATGTGTACTGGGGTATGGAGTCAAATTTCAAATCCATGAGAAAACTGGGAGTAACAAGAGGAATCCCTGTCTCTCTTTCCTACCTCCTTAGTGAGAGCGGTAGGGTCATCCGAAGACAGTTTTCAAAACCACATGAGCACAGACAGAGCTACAAGACCCACACAGAAACCTGGAGCTACTATAAGGAGGCTCAGTGACTACCTGGCCTCCTTTTTAGTTTCATCATAACTAGTTTGGTTTTGTGTGTGTGTGGTGTTGGCAGTGTCTGATTCTTTTATTTTTTTTTTCTACTGCTACTAATCTCTGAAATGTCCCTATAACCAAACCTATGTAAAGGAAAGAACACAGGCCCGCTCCACAGTGCAAATGAGGTATGCAAAAGTTGTCTCTTACCAAATTACCTCCTGTACACACCCTTCCCAGAGTCCACTAACAAGTTAGGAAGGCAAACAAGGAGTAGGGGAAGCCCACGAGCACTGCACTCCCTGGAGCAGGTGTTCGTCTTTCCCCCACGTGGTACTTCTCCAGCCAGAGTAACACGGAGACCCACTTTAAGAAGATTTTTGTGGATTTTCAATAGCTGCTTAAATTATTTATGTTAATGTTAGTCAATTATATATAACCAAAAACCAAAGAATAAGCTTCATTAATTTAACGTGGTGAATGATGTTGCTTTTCCAAAGCCAAATCCTCAGTCACAAAATGATGATGGCTCTGGCTGCTGCTTCACAGGCCATTGTGAAGTTTTTAATTCTAAAAGTCTATGGCCATGTGAAAAGTCACTGTCTCACCTCTTGGCTCTAATATGCTCCCTCAGTTAAAGTAATTGTACTTGGTGCTTATGTAATTATCAACATAAATTCTAGCATGGTATCTAAAAGCACATGGCAATACTCATTTATGCAGAATCATCCACTACTCTTGTTAGATTGTCATGGAAGTGAAAACACAAAGTTTGAAAGTTCCTATAGAGGACTTAATGATTCTGCAAATATAGTGTCCTATTCTGGAGACTGGAAGAGATGAGTTAGCTGATATTTGAATGCTCAGTGGCAGGGGTACAAGCATCAACAAGAAGTAGGAGGCTGAGGGTTAGGTGCAGGGTCACGGCCACATGCATGAGCATATGATGGGATTGCTCTAAAGAAAGTTTCAAGCCACTTGCAGAACCACCCTACGTAGCCAGCCTCCTTCTTCCTGCAGTCTTATCCCTGGAGCCATATGCATGGTCTATAGATGCTTCAGTTAGAACCACTAGCCCCAGAGATGGACAACAGCAATTGGTTTGAAAAGGCAGCATGGCATGGTCGCCAAGAGCACTGGGCTCAAGTTAGGAGCTGTGGGCTCCAGTCCTGATTTTACCACAAATCAGGCGGCTGAGTTTGACCAAGTCTCCTCCTGTCTAGGCTTCTATTCCCCTTGTGCAAAGTAAAGAATTTGGACTAAATCAGTGGATCCCAAACTGGCCAATCATCAAAATCACCTGGGAGCTTAAAAAAAAAAAATGGATATTTGGAATTCACCTCCAACCTGTCATTCTTGCCACCAAATTGGAATTTCCAGAATGGGGCCCATACCCCTCCCTGACCGTGATTCTAAAAGATCAGTGTTTGGGAACCATTAAAACATCTTGGGGCCAGGCGCGGTGGCTGACGCCTATAATCCCAGCACTTTGGGAGGCCGAGGCGGGTGGATCACGAGGTCAAGAGATAGAGACCATCCTGGTCAACATGGTGAAACCCCGTCTCTACTAAAAGTACAAAAAATTAGCTGGGCATGGTGGCGTGTGCCTGTGATCCCAGCTACTCAGGAGGCTGAGGCAGGAGAATTGCCTGAACCCAGGAGGCGGAGGTTGTGGTGAGCCGAGATCGCGCCATTGCACTCCAGCCTGGGTAACAAGAGCGAAACTCTGTCTCAAAAAAAAAAAAAAAAAAAAAAAAAAAAAAAAAAAAAATCTCAAGGTTCTTCCAGTTCCTCTAGTATCCAGAAAATGCTATGCCTGGAAATTGACTCATGTGAGTTCCATTTACTTTAAAATTAATTTTTATACCCAGGGAGGGAAGAATAATAAAATTTTTACAAGTTGGGGCTTTGGAAAGACAGCTTCCAAGGGAACCATACAAGACCTCTAGTAGCCAGGAGCCTGGTGTGGTGGAAAATAAACACATTCATCTGTCTACATTGATGATTTTGAAGTCTGGGGTTTCTTGCAAGACGTTGTCTCTAGCCACCAATAATAGCTTTCTTCTCCAGAATAATATAATATTCTCCAGAATTTTTTAATGAAATAAAGATATTTAAATTGTAAAATTAAAAAAATGAAAGATTGGCTTAATGAAAGAAGACTGTTCATCCAGCGACCTAGGCTACACTCATCACATTTAGCTATATCAATTTCCAAACTGATATAATTATTTCCTTCCAGATGGCTGCTCTAGTTTACATCTATCTCGATGGCTCTGTCTTGGTGACTCATGGTGGCTGTGAACTGGGACAAGGCCTGAACACCAGAATGATTCAGGTGAGATCAGTGTCTGTCTTCTCCAATGTAGAAGAATATAGCATGTTACATTCAACTTAACAGCTTTTTCTTGAGAAATACTATCACACTAAATGCACAAGTTAATTGTAAGACTTCTGACTTTAGAAATGCAAAAATGCAGGGGAGTGAGGAAAATGAGTGTTAGGTTGAAGGAAATTTTTTTTAAGACAAGGTCTCACTCTGTCACCAGGCTGGAGTGCATTAGCACAATCACAGCTCACTGCAGCCTCAACCTCCTGGGCTCAAGCAATTCTCCCATCTCATCTTCCTGAGTGGCTGGGACTATAGGTGTGTGCCACCACACCCAGATAATTTTTGTATTTTTCTATAGAGACAGGGGTCTTACCATATTACCCAGGCTGGTTTTGAACTCCTGAGCTCAAGAAATTCACCCACCTCAGCCTCCCAAAGTTCTGGGAATACAGGCATGGGCCACGATGATTGGCCTAGAATTTATATTTTCTATTGTTCCTCCTGCATACAAGAGAACCAAGTCCACAGGTCTTCTGAAAAATGTGATTCCATATTTCAAAGATAAGATATTTGTAAATTTTCTGGCATCTGCTCAGAGCAATACTGTGTTCATCCAAATCCTGAATTAGAAGTGAGTGCATTTAGTAGGATACAAAATTATGCTCCTAGAATTAACAATCAACTTAGCAACATCATATAACTGACCCTTATGTGTCCCAATTCAAGAAAGTGTTTCAAATATTGTTGAATGAGCAAGAGTTTACTGCATTCAAAAATTTGCCCTTTTTTAAAATCTGAAATAAGAAATTTGCCCTTTTTTTAAATGTGAAATAAGACATTTGATTCAGAAACGTACATGGGAAACAAAGCTTCACTCCCAATGAGAAATAAGGAGAAGACATTTTCTTTAAGGAAAGAATATTATTTAATAGTATACTTGGAATTAGGAAATCACACAAATCCACAGGGCCTTCATTGAATATATCTTGCTTCTTCACAACAAAACCCTTTTGCCTAAAAAATGTACCATGAAGGAAACATAATCTGTTAAATTGTCTGTAAACCACAAGGTGAAGATGAAGGTGAAAACTTAAGACCAGGACCTCAAATTTGCCTGCACCTGTCCTGCTACACTAGCTGTCCCAGAGTGAGCATCCTGCCACATGGCTTCCATAAGAGCGGTATAAAGAGAAAGCATAAAAAAGCCCTTTGGTTGGGCACATGTCTCTGAAAAGAAATGTATCTTTAACAGTGCCATTTAAAGTCTTCAAGAGCATTAATCTACATATAAACACAAGATACCAGCTAAAATGTTTATATCTATAGAAGAATAGCCAGGTTTATACTCAGTTCTAAAAAGATTGTAACTTTTAATTTGGGGGAGAGGCTTAAAGTCCATGCAACAAATGTTTTTTTCTGCTCCTGGCAGATGGCTAGTCACAAACTCAACATCCCCCAGTCATACATACACCTGTCCGAAACAAGCACCGTCATGATGCCCAATGCCGTCTTAACAGCAGGATCAGTGGGGACAGACATCAATGGAAAGGCTGTGCAGGTGACTTTTCTTTCATTTCCCAGTCACTCAAAGACAGTGCTGGAAAGAACACTGTCCCATCCTTTCTTTTGTGGAAGATGAAACTGAAGCCAAGAAAGGTCAAATCCTAAGACATTTGGCTAATGACTGGCAGAACCAAGGCTCCACGTCAGTTTTCCGAGGCTCCCATTTAGTGTTCCTCCCGCTGTGCTGAGCTGTTTTTATAATTACTGTTCTACTGCATGTGAAAATCTGCACCTTTAGCAACCTCCTTTCGTCTTATCTGAGACTCTTCTCTCACCCCAGCATACCAGAATAATGCAAGGTTATCCCATCCTGGTTCCACAGAGGGCTCGGGCCAGTCATTAACCCCTCGAGGTATCTGTTTCCTCTTTTGCAAAACTGGAGCTATGAACACCACCCACCTCAAAGAACTGCTGGGTAATTTACAAGGATTGTGCAGTAAAGCCACCACCACTACCTTCCTCCTCACTAGAAAACTGCTGATTGGCCACTAGTCACTCATAGAGACCATCTCCACAAAATGACAAATACCTGGATGAAAAGAGAAACTTTGAGCCTATGAAATATATTCATATATCATATGAACCATGGCTTCCTGAAGTATGCTCCTTGCGATAGCAGTCCTATGAAATGCTCGGTGGAAAAAACAAAGGATTC